TGATTTCCAAAAGTTTAATAACATGTATTATTCTAACCATACAAGTATGATATTTGGTTTATTGATTTTTTAAATAATTCAAATTTAATGATAATTAGTAAAGAATAATAATAAAGATACCTACTTACAAAAATTACAACTCTGTCTTAAAAGAAAACTATTACTTTTTGCACAAAGTGAATATTGCTATTGGTATGTTGAGAAAAACGTAATCACACTCATACTGGGTCGTAGGTGGGAGATGCATAGCACTGATGAAAATTGGTAGGCCAACTGATTATTCTCTTTTGAGACAGAGTATAGGTGTATTGTAATCAGTTAAAATATAGGTTATTTAGTATAAATAAATGTTGACTAATTAAAATGATTACTTACGTAATTGTCATATGTGGTTTCATCAACATGTTTATAAAACTTATGGAAGTAAACTGCTGCTGAGCATATAGTTATATGTTTAAGGCCCAGTTTAATACCTATTCATAAAAAATAAATAAGACCTGCAAAATTCGAAACATATAGATTCATAGTTWATCATTTTAAAACATACCGCATTCAAATATAAATCGGACAGCAATGTAATTTGACTTGTGTGTCAAATAGTCAGTAAGAGGTGCCTCTGGTTTTTTAAATTTGTCTTGACTCTCTGATCGCAGTTTTGTCCGGTACTTTGGTTTTGAAATGTTTTTGTTTTTCTTATGAGATTTTACTTTCTGCTTGTGAGTCTTCGTCTTGCTTTTAGTTATGCTCTTCATTTTTTGAGCTTTTTTACCCATAGTGTTTTAATATTTAATAACAAAACTTCAAGAATTATCCAGAAATCAATGACACACAATTATAAAATGGAAGTAGCTATTAGAGCGTCCGACGCGTATCTACTATTTTCGCGTCTTATGCTCTGATTGGTCCAAATATTGATAAACATAATATTATCATATCAATGCTAATTTTATTACCGCCTTAATTTAAATTTAAGATTAATTATTGTTTATATGATTTTAGTTTTTTAGTAGGTAATTTAATTCATTTTATAATTTAATTATTCATACATATTAATAATATGAAATAAATATAATTATAAATATTATGTTATTATATATAACATGCATGTTCTATTAGGTATGTTATGTTCTTGAAGAATAAACAAATAAAATAAAAATATATCTTAAATGATGGATGTATAATTTAAGATAAATTATTATTTGTAAGATATATATCTTATACCGGATGTGTTACAGCTAGAAATTCCACAGATGAGAAAATTAATCTTGTAAAAATTATTTTTCTGTTTTCAAAAATTTAATATATAGTCTGTTCTACCATAAATGAGTGAAGTGTTTAATTGTATATATAGTTGTGTTAATCATATGATTATTAGTGAATATAATCATAAGTTATGGCAGAGTCCACTCAATTTAATGGTGAAATGATAAAAAAAAGATGACGAGTTTAGTAGTACATTTAAAGGAGGCCCTAAAAAATTTGAAGACAGTGAAAATTGCAATTTATCAAAATTTAACACTAGAGCAATGAATAAGTGGCTAAAAGCTTTTACGTTTGACCATTGACTAAACAGTTAACTTTAAGGAGTGCCAGTATCCGCGACTAAGCAGTAGTTGTGCATTTGTAAATATACGCGTATACGAAAAACAATGTCACATATTACCTATGTAAATATGATTCAATAAATGTAATGAGATGGGAGGTAACACTGGTCATTTGAAGTTATTTTCGTACTCATTTTTGCGGTAACTTCAAATTTATATTAGATCAAATTATCAAAATAATGATGAAAAACACGTAGAAAACAATTAAAAACATAACATTTTAATTAAACAATAAATCATAAGCATGACCGTATTTAAGCAGTGAATAAGAGGGGCAATACCCCCCCTGGAATATGTTAAAGGGTGCCAATATTTTTACGAAGACTATAAAAAAGTTTTCTGAAAAATTATAAGTTATAATATTAATAATTCAAATACCTATATCATAGAATATAATTACTAGTATTAAAAATAACTAAAATAAAGATCATAATGCAATATAAAATACTAATAGAATAAATAAATCTAAAAGGAGATAGGTATGACACCCTCGGCATGAGCACACTCCTGTTACCTATATATATTCTATATGCAAATAATATATATAATTATTAATTATACCTATTACGCCTATACTGGTTACTTACACGTGGATAACTTCAAACATAAAAAAACTCTAAGTATTAGAATATTAGATAAATACACATGTAAAACAAACATGCCTTAAAAACTAAGTTGTTGAATAAAATAGATTAATAAAAAGTAATCCCAACAAGTTTTCTGGTAAATTAATAAACAAATTTAATACAGTGAATTAACTGAATTATAAAAATAATAATTATTATAYAATATAATTCATGCATAAACGTATAATATCGACATCGTGTCGCTTATTTCGACTACGAAAAAAGGAATATTAATATTTAATAATGTTAAATAATTGATAATCCCGGCGTGCGGCCGAGCCACATGCAGAGAAATAAGAATATATAAATATGGTAATATGTACATCAATTATATTAGACCATATGGCCGAAAAAATTTCTACATTTTGTGGCTACTAATACTAACAAGTAGACAGCGTGACGACGGTAGCACACAAGCACTAAATCAAGTTGAGTAATGGTAAAGCGTCATAGGAGACAAAGTGACAACGTTTACCCGCTTAGAAATTAAAACACGGGACAAATAATTAATTATTATTTTGTTTTATAAAATATTTAAAAATTTGAATTTTATTTTATATTATAAAATATATGATGTATGGCCAAAGTTTCTGAGCTCAAGAACAAAAAAAAAAGGGGGGAGTCTAGGCATATAATATTAGTACCATTTTTTTTCAGGGTCTCCCCGACCAAAAATCTCTCGCCTCCTCGCTACGGAAGTTGAGAACATACTATATAGACATATAGTGTATTCACTATAGGCGTGCGCAGACCTTTTTGGCAGGGTGGGCCAATTCAATTATGATTTAGATACCTACTTCAAGAGATACTTTAAAATATTTAATYAATTAAATTTTTCAATTTTAAATCCATTTAATTAATTATTATTATTGAAAATTGTAATTTGTAATTGTATTATTTAAGTTTCATGACAAACAATTATCAGGTCACAATATATATACAACAAATACAGTACGGCTCACAGGGTGGGCCATGGCCATACGCCTATGGTATTCACTATATTCAGCATTTTAGTTATAGAATTGGTCAAACCACCAAGTGCCCACGACTATAATATTATAAATTATGATGTAGATATATAAGTATTTCTATATTATCTAAATATTTAATTCCTTAAGTAATTTGATATCCTATCACAAGAAGGAATCTACGAACAAAAGTYCGGTAAAAAAAGACCCGCAAAAAAAGTCCAATGTATAAAAGTCCGGTTTATTTATTATACATATGTCGTACAAGAAAACATTAATGTTATTATAAAAATAATAGMAATAATTTATAATACAATTATTACAATCAATATTATAGGTAGGTACTATAAAAATTAAAAATATTACATACAATATGACATTATAATTTTTTGGTCAGATTGATTGTTACTTTTAAA